TGACTTCTCAGAGAGAACATGTAGACAATGGAGACTGCTTGACCAATTTGCACTGCCTGATCCCCATGTCAAAAGATCTTTCCAGCATCATCACTTGGCCACTCCCCCTGCCCAACTCAATACACGGAGGACAAAGACTTTGAACAAGGGAAGGATGGTCCAGGCCAGGAAAGGGTTTCATCCTGTATATTCAGGTTCTGTAATCTGTTTGTACTATCTGTCAGGGCGAGACACTGCTTGATTCAAATCCTGTTTAGTTTACAGAACTCAAGACTACGAATTTATTTTTATTTCTTAGGCAACCAACTTTGATTTTCACACTTGCTACCTCTAATCACCTAAAATCAATCTTTCTGTAGCTAATAAATCTGTTTTATATTTTACCTAAAACAGTGTGTTTTGTTTGAAGTGCTTGGGAAATCTCAGCTCAGTTTACAAAGGCTAGTGTGTGTCCTCTCCACATTGAGGGAGAGGCGGACTGGGGAATGAACTTACACTGACTAGACTTCTGACCAGTGCAAGACGGTACAGTTCTGGGGGTGCAAGTCTGAGGAAGTGTGTGTGGGGGGAAATTAGCTGGAGCCTCTCTCTTGTTGGTTCACGAGTGGCTGAGAAAGCATTCATGTAACTCAGTTGGGTGTGTCCCTGCCTGTGGATGTCTGTGCAAGTGCAATACCTGCAAGAGGTTTGTGGCTTGATACAGTTTAAGGAGGCGGTGTGGTTCCCCGCCTCCCCGGAGAGGGACGAACCCCGATGAACCCTCTCTACACACAGAATCACAGAATGCCAGAGTCCAGGCTGCACCCTGGGGATCCCGTCATAGGCAATGAATGAGAAGACTGCTAATAAGGAAGGACTGATACCCCATCAGGAGGAAACACACAGTGACCTGGCTGGAGGGACAAGTCACAAAGAAGGAGCCCCTGAAGTTGCAGAGAGAGAGAGAGAGAGAGAGAGAGAGAGAGAGAGAGAGAGAGAGCGGCAGCAGAAGGGGGCCCTGGAACTGGAAAGAGTTAGTCCCTGAGCGGCCGTGAAGAGGCACCACCTGTGGTGAGTGGACCCTATGACAGATCTCATTGCTTCGTCAGTCTTCTTGTGGAAGAGTGAGCAGCCCTCAAGTGGCAGGTCCTCAATAACTGTTTGAAATTCTTCAGATATGCCTGCCAAAGCCAGCCAGGAGGAGCGGAGCATTGCAACTGTTGTTGCCATCGCCTTCATGTCCAAAGCTGCCTGCAACGCAGTTCTGGCCACCACATGACCTTTCGCCAGCTAGACTGGAAGTCAGCCCTGCAATCGTGTGGCAGCCTGTCGAACAGCTGTAAGATACAGGCAGCTGATGTGGTTGCATTTTGCCAAGACCACTTGGTAGTTCAAGATCCTCATCTGGAAGCTCGAAGTGGAGTAGGATTTCTGGCCACCACGTTTTAAGTGCTTCACTGTCTCATCTTTAGAGGTCAATTTCTGGCCGCTCTAACGGGAATGCTCATTGGCCACTGGTACTGGATGCAAATAGAACTCTGTTCGTATCCAGTAGCCAGGACCTGGTACCACCTAGCTGTCCATTTGGATGTCAGTGCCAGTGATGCTGGTGTCTGCCATAAGGCTTTCATGGGCTCCAATAGCCCCTTGTAAATCAGGATCACTATGAGTCCCAGTACCAAGTACAGGATTATTGAGGAGTTTGTGTGGCATATCCCACACCACCTGCATAGGTATCTCTAAGGCCACTGATACTAATGTCCCATGAGGTCTTGGAAAATCTTCTAGTCCTCAAGAGTGGCAGCTGACTGTTCTGGAACAAGGGCATCATCTAGAAGAGCTCGTGGCCAGTATTATCTGACCCTTGCACTGGATCTGCTGCACTGGAGCCGCCTACTCCTGGTCCCAGGGATGCTGCAGGGACAGGTCCAGTCTTTGGCACACTCATAAGTTTGCCTCATAAGTGTGGTGAAGAGGCTGGTCCTGGATAGTACTGCAGTCCCCAGGGGGCCCACATGCCAGGATCATATAGCACCAGGCCCCACGATGATTGGTCCCAGTGATCCCAGTACCGGGCTGGGTTGGTTCTGCCCTCCGCCACAGGTACATGCCTCTTATCCCCCAGATGATTGATACTGTTGGGTACCAGGACCTGACCAGGGATGGCTAATGGCTTTCCTTTGAGTCAGAAACAATCCTCTGGGAAGGATGGTGCTCAACCTGTGGGTCTAGGGGGAACCTGACCAGACAGTGGAAGCATCAAAGTCCCTGGGTCCAGAAATCTGGACAGCATCAGGGTGAATGCAGCTCCAGTAGCTGAACAGGTGTCAGCCATGTCAGCATGGCCCAAAGCACTTGATCACCAACAGATTGGTTTAGCAGTAACTGCGCTGGAGCTGGTGGCAACAGAATGACCAGCACTGCAGTCAAGCTTCTACCCGGTACCAGGCTATCTTTTTTTCTGACTACCTCAATAATGAGAAGGCTAAAACAGCCATGACAGCATCAGGTAGGACCTGTATTATGGCTAGGTCCACTCAGCTGGTACGGGCTCTCGTGCTTAGGGAACTATTCCTACGTTTTGAGGCACCCTTAATGTCCAACTGCATGGTAGTCTTATGCAACCTTGAAGTCTGATCCAGGGAGGGTGATGATCTTCACCTCTTCTCCTTAGGAGACTTTTGCGCTCTGAGCCTGATCCATTTCTCTGCTTCCCAGATGAGGAAGCCAGAGGACTGAATGAACATTTTGCTAGTTTTGATGATGAAGTCAGGGCAGATTTCAACAGCCACCAGTCTCCTGAGGATCCAGGTGCCTATAGTTCAGGGTCAGAGATTGGCCTTATTACTGCTTCATGAGGAAAGCAGTAAGACACAGAGCCGGCAGTTTTTAAAGCCCAGGGATTTACCATGGTCAGCCATAGCAGCTGGTAGTGCCAGCAACCACGGGAAAGAACCCTTTCCCTCCACAGCGTCCTGTAGACCTAACTAAACTGAGACAAAGTGGATATAAATCCTGAAAAGAGTCACTTTGGGGATGAAGAGCAGCTGGCTCTAACCGAATCCAGTTAAAGCAGCAGTGATTGTTGATAGGAAGGGGAATCCTTGAAGAATTAATAAAACTATGTTGAGTGCATTTGCCCCCACCCCCAGTTATCAAGGTAGCATGCAATCTCAGGTTCCTGGTGAATACTTCACTACTCAAACACAGAAATAGCTGTAGTGGTTGGAAAGGCCTTGGGCGAACTAGGAGACTACATGCTCGAATACAGACTTAACTACTATGTCATAGTTTGGGGCAACTGCACCTGTATTTCCCCTCTGCGGTCCAGCAAAGGCATCCACTCTAGGTTCCCAGCTCCTGAGCAGTAATTTCTATTGGATCGAGACCTGCATCTCTCTTCCTCTTGACCAGGGTTTTTCCAGGCTGCTCAGTTCCCAGCAAGCCAGACTACCTAGACAGGCCTGCGTCCACACTTTGCTTTCTACTCAGAGGCTCTGGTTATAAGTTACCACACTGACCTTTCTAAGCAAGCACATCTATTCTTAAGGTGAAAGCATTACAGAAGAAACATATTAAAAACAATACAAGAACCTATGTGCATGCTAATTAGTTTTTCAGAGATCACCCTCCCTCCAAACTCCAGGAGGGGCTCCAATCAGAGTCAATCTTTCAAACCTCACCAAAGGGTTTTTTCTGTGGCTTCAAGTTCATAATAGCCTCAGCTCAGAACAAGCACCCCAATTGTGCAGATCAGCCTGTTTCTTTATACAGATTGGGCCTCTGATCTCCAACCTTTGGGAGCAGGTAATCAGCAGACAATGGTTCTCTCCTCAGGGCATAGCTTCAAAAGGCTGGGTTTCTGCATAACCAGTGGAGGGCATTTGCATTCATCTCCCCCAAGCTACTTCCCAGGAATTCCACTTGACAGGTATTGTCCCAAAAGATCATGATTGTTTGCCGCATTGTTCAATATAGTCCTATGACCGTGCAGGCCCACAATAATACATAATCTTTCCCTTTAATACAATGGACTCCAAAATATTTAATCTTAATTCAATATGGTTTTCCACTGAAACTGCCAAATCTGTCACATACTGCTATCTAACACCTTTGCCACCTCAAAACAATATCGCCTTAAGTTATTTCAGGATGCTCTCTCATGAACTAATGCAAAAGACTAGATGCAACCTACAGATGGTTTAACATGCAGTAGCCACATGCTACTGGTGTGGGTGTCTATGGGGGACTTGACTGACAAGAGCACATTCTCACTAATGATCATGCTGTACATTTGCTGCTGGCCCAATTTAAGATCTTGGTCCTTATCTTTATTGCTTTAAATGTGTGAGGACTTAACTACCTCAAAGATTGCCTTCTCTGCTCTCTACCTCAGCAGCCATGATCAATAATCTAGATTTCACTTTTCATAACACTGGGTAACTCATTTAAACTCTCCATGCCTCAATTTCTCAACCTGTAAAATGTAGATATTAATGTTTACCCACTTTTAAGAAGTGTTTGGAGATCTAATGATGAGAAGTGCTAAATATTATTTAAACAAAGGGAGAGGAGTTTGGTTCCTATATGCTTCTCAACTTAATTGGCATCTATGGTTCTAACATCATTAGTGCTTCACAAGTGCTAGCAATAGCAGCAACTTAACATCCAAGGAATGTATTATTTCCATGCAGTTAAATCACCAAAATAAAAAATCCCAGCATGTAGTTTCTTAGTGACTAGCAAATTAACATAAAGATCTATCATTAATAGCATCAATATTCAGTATATAAAAAGGGATGTTATGAGGCTTAACTAACATTTGTACAGTGCTTTGAAACCTTTCGAAAAAGGGCACTTATTGTAACATAAAAATATTCATCAGCCCACTGTAACTTATATCAATTTCACTAGGAATGCATGTAGAGTTCCATTAAGACATTAAGGCCAAAAAACAGCCAAAACTAAAACTTAAAAAAAGTTGTTTTTTCCTAACTAAACTATGTAAACAAGATACTGACCCTGTTCTCCATCGATTTCTTCACTAAGTTAAAGCTCTTCCACCGGGAGTCAAACTCATGCTTGTGAGACCCTTGGAATTGTAAGAGATCACCAATGATCTAGAAACAAACGGTTTTACATTATGTAAAACAAGTCAACCCGTTCAAATTAAAATAAAACATATAAAAATTACTATTATACCTTTATGATTAGAAACAAGGACTTGGTATCATCTTCTGAGTTGTCGAGTATATAGTCTACCGTTGGAATGGAAACAAAAAGTGTGTTATCTGATATGAAGCTCAGGTCAAAGAGTTAACTACACTCAATGAAATATTTTATCTACTTGTGAAGCTCAAAACTTTGTGGCATTTATGTTGTCATATAATTCATGACAACAGATTTTGCCTCTTTGCTTTGCTCTACAATATTGATATTAGATTTAAAAGCCCAATAAACTGACAACATTTAAAGCAAATCTTTGCATATGAACTAAATACAGGAATGAGAGAGAGAGAGAGACAAAAATGTACTTACGCAGCAGTTTCCTTATGACCCTAGCCATGGTTTCTCTGTGGTTCTCTCTCGATACATCTACACAAGATAATAAGAACATTCATTATATATAAAGTATATTCGCTAAGTTACACAGTGTTATAAAATACAGAGAAGCTTAATTGAAAAAAATAATTAATGGAAACTCAGACTGACATGCAAAAGCTCAAAAACAGATTAGAGTTTCTTTACATACCTCAAATCATGAGGTATGGGACTCTATAAGGGTGATATAAAAAGACTTTGGAAAAATTATTATATTTTTATATACACACACATACAACTTTAATAGAAACAGTCTTTAGCATCTCTCTGCCAAAGTCATGGGGTACCCCACTCAGTTTTCCACATCACGCTGAAATCCCATGTTGAAGTCACCATCTGTCAGACCAAATACTGGACAGGACATCTTTCAAGTTCATCAACCTTGTTCACTAAATGAGTACAATAATGGTTCTTCAAGCAAAGGGGCAAAAATGGTTTACAGTCCCATGCAGGTTGGGACATGCTTCTGTTCTGCCACTCAGGGTACATCTACACTGCAATAAAAAACCTGCAGCATCGAGTCTCAGAGCCCAGGTCAGTTGACTAAGGCTCGCGGGGCTCAGGCTGCTGAGCTAAAAAGAGTGACGATGTTTGGATTTGGGCTGGAGCCTAGGTTCTGAGACCCAACCCCCTCGCGGGGTGTCGGAGCCCAAACATCTATACTGCAATTTTTATACTGCAACCTGAGTAATGGCTGTGCTACGGGTCTTTTATTGCAGTGCAGACATACCCTTAGGCAGAGTTAGTAGTGGACAAGTGCTTTGCCTAAGATAAGGGAGAGCAAAAATAGGAGTTTGGTTCTGTGCAACGTCAGAGTGGTGCAGAGTGCCCATCATATCACAAGCTCTGAAGAGTACACTGACTGGGGTGGGAAAGAAGAGCAGAATGCTTGAGGGGTGGGACTTTATCCTTCAAGCAATTAAGAAGGGGAGAGATTGGAATTTCTATTCTCTTTGGTTGCTTGGAGGGGAGGGGAGGGGAAAGTAGTACTTTGCCAATCCAGGCAATGGGAATGGTAGAAGGAAGAAAGAGAAAGAATTTCCCATCCCTTCAAGCACTGAGGACAGTGGTTGGAGATAAAGTTTTATTCAAAGAGAGGAGCTCCACCTCTGACAAGAATCTTTCACGTGCCAGGTTAATCCTTTTAGAAGTGCTGCAAGAAGGAGACCTGGGCTCAAATCCCTGTTATACAAGAAGCCTGCAGTGTGACATTATGCAACTCAGTTTCTCTGCACCTCAGTTCCTCATCTGTAAAATGCAGATATCAGTACTTCCTATACACATTTCCCTTTACCTTTGTAAGCTCTCCTCAGCCAGGTTAACCTCCATCTCTGGGTTCTGAGAAGCAGACTGTCCTGCTCGCAGCATGCTCTCTCAGTCTGTGTGTGTCTCCTTGTCAGGTCTTGCTGACTACCTAGGCAGCCTCTGACAACTCATTCAACCTCAACCCTTTTCTGTGGTCTTCTAATGATTTGTTATCTTCCTTTTGATGTTAGGCTGAGACTTGTGAAGAGTAAGCCATTCTTAGCCTGGCTGTAGTCAGGTAGAACATATTCCCCAATAAACAGCTTCACCATTGTTTCTTCAAGGCTTCTTATCCGAGACACCGTTTTACCTCTCCTGCTTGGTTCCTTTAACAACTTCTTTTGATCTAACTCCATAGCATAACCCATCATAAATACACACATGTAGGCATGCACCATATTGAAAAAATAATACAGATATTTCCCAGTTGGTCCCAAGGACCCCTCAAGTGCCTAAGACAGCTAAATACAAGACTTGGCACAAGTCTTGGTGTCACTTGAAGCTGAGAAGCACCCAAGTTATGAGACATGAAAAGAAAGAGGTTATGAACTACTGGGCTACATGATAGACACCTATATACTAGCTGCTCTTCTCCCTCACAGCTATGCAATCTCAGAGCTCAGGGTACACATGGCAGAGACTCAGGTCTCACATGCCAATCATTTACTATAAAAAGACAATTAAACGTAACTTTGTTTGTAAGTAGCGTATTCAGTCTGAATATCTGCCCCGTTTAGTAAACTTCTGGAATATTTTTTATGTTTTACTAATATGATAACTAAGGCTTCCGATTTCCCCTTCTGGGAGTCATGGCTTTTTCATCGTGGCCTAAGCATTGCCAGGCTTTTCTGAAGTCTTCCTTCCATTCTCTGTACCAACTGTTGTAACTGCTACTGGTCCAACTGATCTCAAACTCCACCCCAACTACACACAGATAGACAGGTTCTCTGAAATATACAGGACTGATCACCACCCTAAATAACCAGGACCACAGTGCACTTAGGCACTCAAACAGGACATACTTTGCAGGTGCAGCAACAATAAAAAAGTGTTAGCCAAAGTATAAGTTATACGTATTGCACACCATATCAATATGTATTACACATTATATTAACATTATATAAACGTTAGCACAAAGTCATGCTAAATTGCATTCTGCTCACTCAGGCTGAGGTATATAGCCCACAATATCCTGCACAGCACAATTCTGCACTTCGCATAGACGGATGCAGAACTTGTCAAAACCAAGACACATGAATGCTCTGCCCTGGTACAAGCTTGGGAGGTGCCTTCACAGGCAACTGGTTTTGGAATGTGTCCAAAAACAGAATAAGGAAAAATGATACTGGAAAAATAAGGTACACATTTATTTGGTAAATTTTAGTCCTGGATGATGTACAGAGTGTTTTTAGCTCATAAACAGTAACAATATAAATACAGGCAGTTTTGGGAGCGTATTTCGGAGCACAGCTTCTGTGTAAGGTGAACTAAATGCTGTGACTACTTCCAAGAAGGACTGGTAACATATTACCGTATATACTCGTCCATAAGCCGAATTTATTTAGTAAAAAAGGGAAGCACCAGATAAGGGGGTCGGCTTATGAACGGGTATTGAGAGGGAGAGATGGGGCACAGCCCCTCCCCCCAACAGAGGGAGCAAGGAGAGGCAGCACAGCCAGCAGAGCCAGAAGGGAAGAGGTGGGGCCAGACTCGCTCCACTTCTGGCCACGCTGCTCTCCCTCCAGCCTCCAAAGCAGCTGCAGCTCCGGGGCTGGCAGGCTGCAGCCATGCCGCTCGGCCCCGTCCCCCAGAGCAGGCTGTGGCCACGCTGTTGGAGCACGCTGCGGCCGTGCCGCCCAGCCCAACCCATTGGAACATGCTGCGGCCGCACCGCCCGGTCTGGCCACCCGGAGCAGGCTGTGACCGCGCTTCCCAGCATGCCGGAGCAGCTCTAGCCAGGCCAGAGACATCCTCCCCTGGCCCTCCCCCCGATAAGGTGGGAAGGAATGGGATGGGGAGAGTGAGGGGGGGTCCCGGGCTAAGGGTGGAGTCATGTGGGAGGTGGTCACGGGTTACTCCCCTGACCCCCAGCTTCTCCCGCCCAAAAAATTTCCCCACCAGTTGCTGTCCCGACCCGTCAGGGTAAGCAGCTGGCGCGCCAGAACACTTTGTTTACTTAGGTTTACCTCCATGTCCGCAGACGCTAAACCATCTTGGCCTGCCAGTGGCTTATCCTGATGGCCCGGGAGCCAAAGTTTGCTGACCCCTGAATTATAGGGTCGGCTTATGAACGTCATAAAATTTTTTCCATTTTTACTTATCCATCTTTGGGGGGGTCGGCTTATAAACGAACCGGCTTATGATCAAGTATATACGGTAACTCTTTCCTTTCTATATTGTACTGCTTTGTCTTTAGACTATAAGTTTGGCAAAGCTTGGTTAGTTGGTCTCAAACATTTTTAATAATGAACCACAAATGTAATCAAATCAATTGGCCATGCATTTAACAATAAGAGTATGAAATTAATTATCTCGTGACTTGATTTAACAGAGTTAGGATTGACCTACCATAGTTAACGCCAGTGTAAAGTTTTGTCTCTTCCAAAGACACCAAACTTGGAACCCTGCATAAAGACAAAATACACTGTATTACAAGGTAAGGAAATCTGTCTAACAACATGAGTTTTATTGACAACTAATTTCTACTTACAAAGTAAGGTTCATGCTAGTGGATGACCGAGAAGGCTTAATTTACTAATTTTATTTGTTATTTATCTTTAACATTCTGAAAGCTAGGAATCCATACTGGTCAGGTGGTTTGCCTTTTTTGAGAGAGTGAAAGCCAAGGCAAAGCCACCTTGAGTATAAAATCTTGATCGAGTTCCATTTAACAAGAGTTAGAAATGACTCATTTCTTCTGATGCATGTTCACATCGGCATGACAATGAGGGACAGTGGCACTGATACAGCTATTTATTGGATTAATTGCAGGTGAATCAGATTACTGGATAGCAGGGAACTGAATAAGAGTCTCAGGAAAGGCTGAATATATAAATTCAATAGCTTATTTTTCCCCACACCTGTGGTCCTTCCTTTAAATAAAGAAAATGGTGTGCAATGTGCCTAGGCCCAACTGTTAATGCTAGTCTCTGAAGCCCACCACTAATAATAACCATGCCAAGAGAGTACATAATAGTCAGAACAATACATCTACATGACAAGTTTTTTCTTATAAAGAAAAGCTTAACCAAGATCATGATTTGGTTATGACTTGATTCTACTCTACATTTTTAGCTGTGCATTCTTAGTCCTTGTAAGATGTGGTTTTTGCACATGGTTGCATAAATAAAACAGCAGACTGTGACATTGCATGCCAATGTATCTAATGGCAAGACCAAGTCATTAGAATATACATTAAATTTTCTTTCCTGTTTTGTTTCTAAAGCTACATCATAGACACTAAGGGTAAGTGGATTCAAACCCTGAAGGAAAAACCACCAGGATACTTTTCAAAGAAATTCAGGAGCTATATAAATACTGCACTAATATGTTGCAAGAACAGTATCACCAAACGGTCCATACTGCTAAATATAATTTTCCTGTAGAATGGAGGATTGTATCAATGGTGGAAATGGTGCAAAAAAAGTTAGAAAACTGAAAAGAGGAACAATATCAGTCTCTTATTGTTATAGATGTTTGCCCACTTGGCAAGAAGTGCTTACACATGTAGCACCAGCATCAGCACACATAGTCCTAACACAATAAAATGAAACAAAACTCCACATTTAAATTGGTGGATTGAAAGGTTTACTCGCCAAGACCAGAATTAAGGGTTATATTTACCCTAGAACAATAATTGATATCACTGATACCTAAAACAGAACAGGGAGCTACAATCAATACATTAGGTGAGGTACTGGGGATGTCAACAACAACTGCAGGAAAATCACAACATCCTAAATCCTAAAATAAAGTCTTGTAGGTAACAGACTGATTTAATTGTTTTTCTAATGTTCACATCTACACATTAATCTAAATCCCAAATCAATTAAAAAGGAAGACATTTTAGTTCAATTTTAAAAGCTCTCAATTTAACCAAAAAAAAAAAAAAAAAAGTTTTCACTTTATTTTCCCGTCTGTGCTTCTAAAAGCACTAAATAAGAAGCTTGAAAATAAACACTTTTCCATACTAATAACTTTTCATTTATTTTTCCCTATGAAAAGAACTGATATTAACATGGGTGCTCCAGTTATAATGATTTGTTTGGGTACTAACATTGATTCCCGAGCAGCTCCAACATTAAGGTAAGATAGCCGTTCCCTCTAAAAGAAGATACTGATGGTGCTAGATAGAAAAATCTATTTTTAGAAAAATACTGGCTAATTAGCATAAATCCTTCTAAAAACAGATGTGTAGATTTCCCTAATAGATATTTCCAATTTGGAAGATATTAACAATATTAAAGAAATGAAGGTTACTTATTTATAACCAGAGTTCTTCAAGATGGCTCTGCATATTCCCACTTATGGGGTACTGCACCACCTATTGGTGTTTAACGGTAGAACATTCTCCAAGCAGTGTCAGAGTGCTCACATTCTTACACCTCCCCTCAGCATCTCCGAACATTTTAGGGTGAGGCTATATAAGGGGGTCCAGAGGCCTTTACCACCTCAATTCCTTACCTCACCAATCCAGAGACACATAAGAGGACTCTGAGAAAGAGGGGAAGGTGGGAGGGAAGTGTGAATATGCAGAGCCATCTCAAAGAACGTTGGTTACAAGTAGTGATTTTCATTTCTTCTTTGAGTGACTCTGCATACTCCCACTTATGGGTAGTTTGATCAGCAGTGCTGAAAATAATATGGAGGATGGAACAGAGTCCTAATTGAATAGAGACTAAAGCACCACTTTACTAAATCTAGCATCAGCCCTGGAAGCCAAATCACGAGCATAATATTTACTAAAGCGTGTAAAAAAACTCCAGGTTGCAGCCCTGCATATTTCTGAAACAAGGACTTGCTTAAGACACTGCCACAGCTCTGGTGGAACAAGTCCATACCATTGTAGGTATAGGAACTCCTGAAAATGTATAACATTCAACAATACGTTGTTTAATCCATCTAGAAATAATCTGGGGAGATATGGTATAACCCACAACTGTTAGCACAAAACATGAATAATCTACATGATTTTTGAAAACTTTTAGTCCTACTTAAAGAACATGCAAGAGCACTTCTTGCATCCAAAGTACACCTCTACCCTGATATAATGTGAAATGATATAACACGAATTCGGATATAAAGCGATAAAGCAGCGCTGGGGGGGGGGGGGGGGGGGGGGGGGGGGGGGGGGGGGCTGCGCACT